TTTCAAGAGTCCATTTTGTGAGGGAAATGGCAAATTCTTCTAACTCAAAGGGAATCACCAGACATGGCCAACAAGCACACAAAACATTGAGCCTCCTAAACCTGATACATGGAGGCACACATCCCTGAAATGTGCTGTTTCCCCATCCACTGACACACTTTAAGGCAGGTGCTGAACAACAATGGGAAGGACATGGGGGGCTGAGCACAGCCCTATCTTGCAGCTCCCATCAGAGCTCTAAACAGCCTTCCCCAGAACTCCTAGGACTAAGAATAGAGTTTTCTCCCACACAGAATGCTGCACAAATTTTCAAGAGTTTGATTCACAGTACTTTTTAAAGCGGGAATGAACTCGGACCCTTGCTAGCCTCCACATAGAATACACACAGGAGAGCTGTCTGGACGATGCTGTTCACTGCAGCTGGGGGGAACCTTGCCCTGGGCCCAGGGCCACAGAGGTGCAGGGATAAGGATGACAAACTCATGGCATGACAAGGTTTCCCCAGGGCCAGCCAGTACACTGGGCATCTCCACTGCAATCCAGCACCTCCCAAAGCCAGGGACAGCACCGGGCAAGGGTATTTGGATACCAGGGTGGCCACTCAGTTGATGGAGAGCCCTGCCTGACACAGCTGTGCAAAGTGTGTCCCTCTGGAGCTAAACCTGCAGCAGATACCACTCATTGCCTTCCTCATGTCTGGCAGCAAGGACATCACACAGAAGCACAGCAACATACTTGAAGTTTACTCAAACTAAATGATTTAGCTTACCTTTAAGAATGACTGATGACTTCACTTCAAGAAATTCCCTTCAAGAAATGCACCAGTATGGAAAATAAAGGCTGAGAACATCACTCTGCATTTTGTATAAATAAACTAAACCTTTATAAGTTATGGTGGTAATGCACATGGGTGGGTCTGCTATGGCAGAGATGTGGACTCTCATGAATACAGGTTTCATAACAGCAATAGAAATTTTCAAATAAATGATGCATGTTCATGACTTTCTGTTTGTATTGCACTGCAGGAAGGGGGATCCAGGCAGCAACCTATATTCACTGAGCTGCCTCAGAAAACCTAGTGCAAAACCCACCACACAATTCCATCACCCAACAGTGAAAGCTCAGCAACGTGGTTCCTGCTTGTTGTGACTGGTAGTTGACAATTTTGAGGTGTTTCTATTTGTGCCAGCCATCTCTGACTCTCTTAGCTTCTGTCCACCAGGGTATGGATCAGACTATATGTTTACAAGAAAGTTCTGTCATGATTTCAGGACTAGTGGCAGCCTTTCATGTACTGGAAATAATTTTTCAGATTGGCCATAAGAAACCTATACCATGTGCTTCACAAGTTGAGGGGAAATGAGATTGTTTGAAATACATACAGAAAACTCATTTTGTCTGTGGCAGACTCACTTGCTACTGAAGTCCATATTTTCGAGGTAAAAAGCCATGAGTCAGGGGTTGTTCTACGATATGCTAAAATGCACAGAAACTTCCCCAAGTTCAGCTTCTGCTTTACTTCCCTCATTCTACCAAGCCACAGAATGGATTCTGAGCATTCAAACACATACAATTAGAACTGCAGCAGAGATCTATAAAAACTTCAGTTAAATGGAAAGTGAAAAGACAAAGAAAGGTTTTTGGCAAAATGCACCTCTAAATATATGCTTAAAGCAACAAAGAAACCAAGAAGAAGACTAAGAAGTCCAAGACAAGGACAAAGACAAAGATGACGAGGTGAAGAAGAAGAAGAAGAAGAAGAAGAAGAAGAAGAAGAAGAAGAAGAAGAAGAAGAAGAAGAAAAAGAAGAAGAAGAAGAGGAAAAGCAGGGAAAAGAAAGAAAAACAAAAAGTAATGTTAATGTGTGGGATTTTGTCTCCAATGCCTCAGCCTCATTTAAAAAGGAAAGGATCAAAATTTGTGGAATGGAAGGGTCACTGTGTAAAATCGACTTAGCCCCAAGACGCTGATGGTGTGTCTGGCCCACTATGTAAGTCCAACCATTATGTAAGGGCAGAGACTGGAGCCTGGTGGAGGCTGAGGCCAGGACCCAGGAATTGAGGCCCCTTGGGCTGAGGTGGCAGAATTTTTGCTGTACCCTCATGGCTCTGCCTTATTGGGCCTGCAGGGCTGCAACATGGATGCAGTAGTGGAAAAGGGTGTAAGGCAGGAGGTGCTGGCTCCTCTGCATGCTGCACACTCCCTGCGTGGCCTGAGCACAGGAAGATTCAAGTCCTCCTTGCTGGAAAAAAAGACTCTGAAGAACAGACCAGAAACAGATGAACACAGTGACTTCTCAGGTAGGGAGGGCAGGACACCCACCACAACGGGATTCACATGGCTTTATATGTTGGAGGTTTAAAAGTTAGTCATGAATGATGTGTTGCCTTTCTGAATAAAAAAAGAATCCTTATGTTATATATCTATAAAGTGATGCTTGAATATTCTTCTATATGCTTATCCTACATTACAGATAAAAGAAAATTAAGTCATCCATTTCCACTCACATATTCAAGAAAATACCAATTATTTATTCTTAAGTGAATTGAACAGGAAAGCAGTAATATTGAGTGCAGCACTATAAATAATGCAATGGAAAAACCCCAAAGGCATCCCTCCCAGGATGAGAGGTCTGCCATTGACCAGCTCCTCTCTCCTGTCCTCACCTGCTGTGCAGGCATGTGTCTCTTCACTGCTGGGTGGAGAGAGGCCAGGACAAAAGCTCTTTTCCATCTCAGGAAAGATCAGGGTCATGGCCTTCTTTCAGAATTTTCAGTGGCTGTCATTTATAATTAACTCAGCAGATGTGCTGTGGAACATTCATGGTTTCTAACTGTCCACACCTTAACTGATTAAGAAGAGAATATGGTGTCTATCAATCTCATTTTTTATAATGACCCTTAGAAGTGGAATTTCCAGGTTAAATGTATATAAGATGAATTGGAGGGTCACAGATATTTCACCTGAAGCCTCAGCATAGAGTTAGAGCCTGGTAGAGGAAGACTGATTCTGCTCAGATATCTGTGGAGATCTGTAGTCAGAGAGATGGTCCAAGCAGAGGTGCAGAACAATATGGCACCTAGCACGAATCATGCCTAAAAAAGGCCCAGTCTAGGCTGCCTCATCCATCAGTGAGTTCTAAGGAAAGCATCACACACTGCACACTGGACAGGAGAGAGGTGGAATGGTTCCAGAGCTCCTCCCTACATGCCTGAGGCCCCCTGTCTCACTCAGGGGAGCTCTGTATGAGAAAGTCAGTCTGTTACAGAACTCAAATTGAATGAATGTTTTCCACCCAGGTGCAGATCTGAACTGTCACATGTGGAATCACCGTAGCTATGGAGCAGGACAGGTGTTTACAGGGTGCAGGCCAGGATATGGAGGCACTGCAGGCAGGTCAAGGTACAAAGCCTTACATAAGAGACCAGGTCCTCACCAGCCCCAGTTTCCTCCAGCAGTAACCAAACCCTGCAAGAGTGTGCTTAAAACTGAGTAACTGAAAGCAGTTACTCACAAAATTATATATTATGGAGATAGTTTGAAGATACAAATGTAAATGGTAGCATCCGTAAATAAAATGAGACGTGACCCTCAAAGGATATGTGGTGTCTATTGATGTCACCGAACCACACGCATCAGAAGGAAACAGTCTGATGAACAGAGCAATAAGGATCACAGGCAATGGATAAACATCACAGCTGCTTAATAACAACAACAAAGCTGGGACACAATAAGTGCACTGGTGAATTTTATCCAGTATGTGATAAAGAATGAATACTGATTGTTTTTCAATTCTTCCATCAAGTTGGAGAAAAAACCACCACCAACTTCTTTTAAGTGACAAGTCATCCTGAGAATGGAGCCAGACCACAATGTGTTAAAAATAAAATAAATGAAAACACTCTGTTGGCTAATATTCCTAACAAACATACACAAAAGTATTCAGCTAAATGTTTGCCACATTAACTCACCAGCATGTTCAAAATTAACCAACACGATCAACACTGGGCTCAATCTCACTGGTGAAAGAATGTTCCCTCTCACACAAACTATTAAGTGTCGCTTACCACATTCACAGCATAAAGCACAGCTAACCCCTGAAGAGATTTGGAAAAACAGCTTTGAGAACCTCAAAAGTTCACCATTTTTTCAGGATAAAAATCATTCATAGACTATAAGTAGGAGGAATGGGCCTCAGCACAGCATGGCAAGCTCCATCCTTGACATGGTGCTCAGAGGCTGACAAGCTGCAAGCTTAGCTTCTAAGGTCATGAAGGAGACAAGGCTTGCAACTCTTTTCAAAATACAGTACTCGAAGTCCTGGCCATAGAATTTAATCCAGAAAGAGAAAGCAAAGCCTTCCAAATCACAAGGGAAGAATTAATTGTTGTTACAGTTCTCCTGGGGGTGCAGCATTTTGTATAAGAAATTTAAACTCCATTCACAACCTTATAGAACAAATTCACAATCACTTAAATTGCAGGATACATGAGCAACATGCCCTAATCAATTCATTACTACATACTACAAACAAATTGTAGCGTCAAATACAAAGAACACAATTCATTTCACAAATAATCAAAAATAACTAATGATTAGGTGAGATGGAAGCAAAGTCACATCTTCTGGGAATGCAATAAGTAGAAGAGCACTAACAGAAGAAAAGCTATACTATGATGAGGGATGGGAAGAATTCATGTTATAATGTAAATGCTACACAGAGCAACCAGGGGTTTCAGTGCCATTCCTGTCAAAATATCAGTGCCATTTTCCTAGAAACATAAAAAATATATGAAAATTCACAAGGAAGTACAAAGAGTCATCCTATAGCCATAGAAAGAACATTAAAAGTAGAGGCATCAAAATACTAGTTTCCAGGAACTTTAAAGTAACAGTAGTCAAAAGGGTTTTACACTGGAAGAAAAGGACCACAGACTAAAACAGCTTGCCCAGATGCACACCAAGTGACAAAATCGCTAGGAATTTCATTTTGTTTCTCCTTTCCTTTCCTTTCCTTTCCTTTCCTTTCCTTTCCTTTTTTTTCCTATTTTGTCATTTTCATTTTATAGTCAGGGTCTCCCTGTGTCATTTTAGCCTGAGCTGAACTCAGAATATGTTGCAGGCTTGTATGGAATTCCTAGGAACCCTGCTGCCTCAGCCACTTGAGTACAGGCATTACAGGCATTTTCACCATTCCTTGCTCAGCCAATAAGTTTTTAACAACACTATGATGAGACCGGGTCTGGTGGTGTGGCTTGTAATCCTAGCAGTCTAGAAGGCTGAGTCAGGAGCATCACAAATTAAAGGGAGCCTCAGCAATTTAGCCATTTATTAAGGACCTGGATTAAAACAAGAAAAGTGTTAAAAGGTGAAGACAAAGAAGCCAATGCAAAGCTCTGTATTCAAATCCTAGAAATTGAACAACAACAACAACAACATCAACAACAACAACAACAAAATCCTTGCAACTGACACCAGGAGGTTAAATAAATTTTTACACTGGCATGGCCTTCTGGAGGGGAGTGTGCCCCAAGTAGCTTTAACCTTCCCACCTTTCTTGCGATTTGACTTCAAAAAATCATCAAATTCCATGAGGGAGCAAAGAAAAAGAGAATGTGCTTCAAAGACACCAAGCCTCAATCCTAGTGCAGAAGGCATTTGGAGTGATCTTCTGAAGTGCCTGCTGAATACAGCTAGAAAAGCAGAGAATCTACTAACAGTGTTAATGTGATTTTAAGTCCTGCTCACTGTGAAAGAAGCTGCAGGCTAGGAAGGTGTCAGACAGCTTAACTAGAGTGACTCCTTCTACAAAGTGTCTGAAGACCAAAGCCAAACATTTTATTGCATGAATACACAACATTGCTACCAATTGCCAACTCAGGATAATATACACCTGTAATCCCAGCACTCTGGGAGAGGGAGGAATGATGAGGAAAGGTTTAAGCCTAGCCTGGGACATTTAGAAAATTAGTGAGACCATGTCTTAAAATTTGTACCAAACCAAAGCTTTTACAAATGTATGAAAATATTGATCTTTAAGAAATCTCAGAAGTCACTAAACAAGGTACATTAATCACTATTAATCTATACTTATTTTATCTCTTTATAGACTTAAAAAGTGTGTTTTTATGTGATTCTTATTACTATTTCAAATTAAAATAGTAATCCTTTGCTCAAATTCTGGTACTAAATATAAATTTAGGACAGAAAAAAAAGCTGAATGATCAAAATCTCTTCATACTGAACTACCCAAATCCTAAAAGGATATATTTAGCTGCATATCTGCAGTCATCTAAGTAAAAAGTATTTAAAAATTGAAAGAGTACAAACACCAGGAAGCACATCAATGTCTCCATGATGGTAAACCTTATGCTAGGTGTGCTGACTAAAGTACACATGCAAGAAAACCTCACAAAGATTTCTCACTAGAAAGTTGATTTTTGACTTTTCATTTTTATCATTTTTTTGCTCTCTTTCTTCTTTCCTTTTTTCTTCAGACAGGGTTTTGCTATGCAGTTCAGTCTGGCCTTGATCTTCCCTTGTAGCCCAGGATGACCTAAAACTCACCACAAAATTTCTGCCTCAGCCTTCCGAATCCAGGAATGACAGGTGTGCACCAACATCTCTGATTGTGTTTTCCTCTTTAAATTTTCTCCAAAACAAAACTCCTCAAAGTTTTTGATACTCTAAAAGTTCATCAGGTTGGTTATACAAAACCAAATCAGAAAGTACTGAAAACACTCTGAAGGACTTTCAAAATCCACACCAACATATAACATAATATAACATAACAGAGCATAATATAGTATAGCATAATATCACAAAACAAAATAAAAAAAGAACCACATAACTCTGCTTTAAACATCTGCTTCCAAAGATACAGTAAGAATTTCTAAGTTATCCATACACCAGCAATACAATACATTTTCTTTGAAATAAATGTCAGTATCCACTCAAACGCTTGTGTAACAATGGATGTGGCAGCTCCCTTTTGAAGTCCAACCCAAAAACATAAAAAGCGGCAATCACAAGATGGGTGACAGGTTCATGTGCTTGGTTCAGCCACATAATAGTGGGTGTTGGCAACACAGAGAGAGCCCAGCATGGAAACACTGCTTCAAGAAGACCAACCAAAGAGTATTGCAACTGAAAAGGTTCAGCACCATCACCTCTAGGAAACTACCCATCAGGGGCCCAAAGCCCATGGTCTGATTGGGAGGGGAGTAAATGAAGTGACAGTAGCAGCTAGGAGACAAGTTCCCCAGGAGTGATGTACATATATCCTTCATCAGTGTGGTGATGATGTCACCTCCCTTGTACTCACCACCTGCTGTCCCCCCTCCCTGGAGGTCAGAGTTTGGAGCACTACAGTGTATAGCTGAGTTGAATGTCTAAGGATGAATAAATAATCATTCCTAAGCACGCGAGAGTAAAACTGGCTATGAATCCTCCTCCCCTGGATATATGGGGTTTATAACATGAGACCTTCACATTGTTTGGTAAAATTTTTATGGCTAGTCTGCTTCCTAATGGAATTGAAATGAAACTAACATGAGCCCAGGAAAGGAAGTCATCCTAACATTTGACAAATCTTTAACAGAAGACAATGTGTGTTTCATCCTCCGATACAATGGACTCTTTGGATGGACCTTTGTGTTTGGCACCCAGCCTGACACATGTGAAGCATCTACATGTTTGCTGCATTAAAATCTTCAAAGTGCAGCAAAGTCTAAAAGTATACACAGTACTCTAGCATTTTAACTTGTTGTTTCTAAGGAGGACATAAATTTGTTTTACAACAAAAAGAACGGTAATATCACAGAGGAAGGCCAAACTGTGAACCCCAGTGCATGACCTCACTTCCTTGGTGATAGGTCCAAACAGAACTCTGAAGGCTCAGGTCACCAGGCACCTTGGTCTGGTGACAGTTGGTCTTCACAGACAGTTGGCTCAAGACAGTGAGCAGGGAGCAGGTTAGGCAGCTTTCCCAGGACACGGGACCACAGCCTCAGGATCCCGCATAAGTAGTCCATGTGGGAATGGCTGAAAAAATGGTTCACTCATCCCAGAGCCTTTAGGATGATTGCTGGCAAATTCCAAATGACAAGGGCATTAAAGGATAGGGCTCACTGTCCCCAGCTTTCTGGCACACAGAGGCAGGAGGAAGCCCAGGACAGGTGTCACTATACTCGGCCACAAGCCACTCAGAGTCACGGAGTCCAGCAGAGTAACATGTGCAAAAATGCTCAATATTTCTTCAACTATTTCTTGACAATTTGTACATATTGTAAAAAAGTGTGTGTTCCTTTCACGTTCCTATTGGTTTTACATGTTAGCTGTCAGGGAGTAATAGGCAAAATTTCTCTCATTCTTCATCCTTTATTTCATTCTTTATTTCTTCTTTAATCCTTTATTTCTTCATCCTTTTGGTTTGACTTTTTTGTGGCATCTATGTTTATGCAGGAGGACAAAAATCTTACAAAGTCCTTTTTCCTTGTTTTGTCACCCTATCTTATTTTCTACACAAAACAGCAGCAATAGTATTAAAAAATGTTTTTTACTACCTCTACATTCAGAACATGAAATGTCTGGCTCTTTCATGTTTCACTATGTTTTACTCCAATAGAGGCATATTTGAGACTGCTGCACAAATTACCAAAAATAGCACACTTCCTGAGTAAAAGAAAAATCACAATTTGCAGTAGTGATTCTTTTGTCCCATCATACATTTTAATTCTTGACCTCAACTTACTTGTTTCCTTAAACTTCAAATGTAGGCATAAAAAAAAAAACTGCTTCACACTCTGCTAAATCATCTAGCAGTTGCCTCCCAAAGTCAGCTTCAAAGCCCTTATCATCCCATCTCATTCTCTCCTGATGCTGGGACTAAAGAAATCATCTTTAGCCTAATCTTTATAGGTAACAATTACCAATGCAATTATTTAAATACAAAATGATCAAAAATTGCATACTTATTGTTAGTTTTTGTAAAATAACAAGGAATATGAAAGTGACAATTCTACTGTATTCAATACAAGAATGAATGGGTTAAATTGACAACTGCCCAAATGATGCTCAGGATGGTCACTGCATAAACAAATGTGTTTCCCAAGTGATTCTCTGGGATAACTGCTAGGTGGCCAACCAATAAAAGGACAACTACTGATGTGCAATTGTGAGTATTAAAAAATGTTGGTACTGGGCAAGAAAGGTAGGAGATCTCAAGCATTAAGCTACATCTGCAGAACTTGAAGATATATTTTGAGACAAGGTCACTCTAATTGTGTAGGTTAGACTCAACTTCCTCTTCCACAAATTTGAGCCCCCTGAGGTGTTAGGATTACAAGCATGCATCAAAAGGACCAGCAAGATTTACTTTCATGGTAAAATGAGAAAGTGCATGTAGTCAGGATATATGTCTTACAGATTCAGTATTCTATTATTAGCTGTAATACAAATTCCAAATATTCCCATTGATGGTAAGCAGAAATATGCTGCAGGGGATCTGGCCACATGCTGTAGTGCATAGAGGCTGACAATGTACTTCACAGTGTCTTTTACTTTGTGAAGTATATCAGGTTCTTCAGGTACAAAATAGATATAGTTTTAGTGGTGATTACATAAGATGTGAGTAATTTATTTTCCCCAGGATAATTGAGACTTGGGCAAGGTGTCTTCACTGGATTAGGGGTATTTACTGCAATGTTCACTTGTGTTTTCATGACACCACAGTTTTTAACAACATAATTCCTAAGCAGATTTTTTATTCAACAACACTGCATTAAACACGTTACACCTTACATGAATGTTAAAATGGAAGTGAAAACCACAGGCCACAGGAAACCAACTGGGACTCATGGCACAGTGTATGTGTTTAAAGATAATCAGTACACACCACAAACATCATGCACTGGTCTTTATAAATAAAGTGATATGCCATTGTATAAATGCACAATTCAGTAAAACAGGACACAATCTGAATCTTAATTTAGCAAATTTACTTTTTACTGTGTTGACAGCTCAAAATTTAGGTTTCTCTTTACGCCATTACTTCAGTATTTTAGGAAAAAACAGTAATAATTACAAAATATATAATGCTTTCACAGCATCAAGGAATAAAATAAAGGCTTTTGCATGATACATCCAATAACAACCTTTTAAACCAAAACAACTCAACAATTAAGAAAAATTGATTTCCAAGTATGGTTACTCATAAATTATGCCAAGTTTTATAATTTCTGGAGATATTGATATATATATTGTGTTGTGCTATTGGAGACAAGTTATGATTCTGTCAGTATGGCACAATCAGAAATTCACAGTAGTATGGTTTACATTTGGTACGAGTGGGGAAACCTTGCTATCCAAAAAAGATGTAATGTAAACATAACAAGTAAAATTCTGATTGTTAGAAAAACAAAGGTTTACGTAAATGACAAATTTTGGCTCCACTGAAAAAGAAAATCAGGCAACATAATGTACGTGGTATGATACCCAGTGATGTTAGGAAATCAGCAGGTATCTGATCTCGTCACAATATGTAATACATAACATTCATTAATGTACAAGTTATGTGAAAAGAACACAACTTTGTCAAAAACACATATTCCAAGCCTCTACAAATGTATATCTTAAGGCCAAATATTGCATCAACTTCAAAATCATCATTTATGAAAGAGAAAATAAAGCATGTGCATCAAAAGATTAAAGCAATGCCGTGTTAAAATTACAATTCCCCCAAAAAATAAGAGACTAGACTAATATCACTCTGAACAGTGAATAATAGTATTGCTCAATTTTATATCATAATGCTACAGAATTAGCATTGGGTTTCTTAGTGTCACTTCTTCTTCAGAGTATCTGTTCATTACATTATGCATTATGTTATTTGTTCCAATAAATAGGTTAGAAATTCTTCCCATGTGTGAATCTCTATGTGTATATCTATCCTTTCTGTGTTATGGGGTAAAACAGCTCAAAATAAGACAACAAAACAATTTCCTAGAAAATCAAGATATGAAAGAGACATATAAGACCACAATATTAGGTGATATACAGTACTTACTATGCTTTCTCTTATAATTTTCAGTAGAATTGTCCACATCATCAGGAACTATATAATTAAGCATAACATTATATAGGTATTTTTTATAAAAACACAACTTTGAAGACATTGTAGGATGTTAAAGCAGTCAATAATCCAACCTGATGTAGAGCCCATGATTTCCTGCCAAGACCAGCAAGTCGGGCTGAGGCACAGAATCTCATCCCAGTCTGGGGGAACTCCCTTCCTCACCTGGGGACCAGCCCATAGTTGCCCACTAGGCCCAGTGATTTGGGACAAGCAAATTAGAACCAGGGAGTTGGGCCAAGGCACAGAATCCTTTCCCAGTCTGGGGTAACACTTCCTCACCTGGGGACCAGCCCGCGGATTCCTGCCCAGACTAGCGAGTGGGGCCGAGGTACAGATTCCAATTCCAGTCTGGGGTAACTCCCTACCTTGACAGCAAGTTCAACCGAGGCATGGAATCCCGGGCCAGTCTGGGTGAACTCGCTCACTCACTTGGAATGACACTTGAAGCTTGAAAATACAGCAAAATGACAGAACGAAAGTCCAAAATGCAATCTCAAACATCCATCCCATCCCAAAAAAGCCTAGGAGCCATGTGCATAGAAGAAAACACATTCCACATAACTGAAATACCTGAAATAATAGTAACTGAAATAAAGAAGCAACTTTGGGAAGCATTAAAGAAATTCAAACTAGAAATAATCTCGTAGGTAAAAGAAGAAATATTAAAAGAAATGAAGGAGATTCTGAACATATCTAAGAAGACACAGTTAAAAAATTGGAGGAACTAAACAAAAGACAGAATCCCTGGATGAACTCTATAAGAAACAAATGGAATGCATAAAGCAGATGCAAAGTGATATACAGGAAATCAAAAACTCCATTGATAGTTGTAAAAACTGCCTCAATGAATGTGAAGATAGAATCTCAGACCTCAAAGACAAAATTGCAGCCAGTGAACAGGAAAGGAAAGATCTTTTAAAAATAACACAAGAAATCAGGAAATAACTATTCAACCCCTGCAAGGTGATGCAAAACAGAACAACATAAGGTTGATAGGGATAAATGAAAAAGAAGGACAACATAAAGGATGTCAAGAGGATATTTAGAGAAGTAATAGCTGAAAAATTCCCAAACATGAGATTGGAAACTGATATCAAAGTCAATGAAGCATATAGAACTCCAAATAGCCATAACCAAAATAAATTTACACCCATATAACAGTGACCATCACAGAAATTGAACAAAAGAATAGAATATTAAAAGCTGTCAGAGAGAAGAGACAGATCACCTATAATGGAAAACCTATCAGAATCACAGTAGACTTCTCAGCACAAACAATAAAGTCAAGAAGAACATGTAGTGAAGTATTTCAGATTGTAAAGGAAAATTATTTCCAACCTAGCCTGATGTACCCTGCAGAACTGTCCTTCAAAATTGATGGAGAAATAAGATACTTCCATTACAAAGAACAGCTGAAAAACTTCATGATCACCAATCCAACCCTGCAGAGAATACTGAGAGAGCCTAGATACATTTACGAAAAAGCCATTAACAAAGCAGACAATTAAACAGAGCAGAAAGATAAAGTTGCAACAGCAGAAAAATAACATGTCAACAATAAACCAATATACAACAGTTCTAACCATTAATGTAAATGGTTTCAATGCACCAATTAAAAGAAACAGACTGACAGAGTAAATCAAGAAACAAAATCCAATGATATGCTGTTTCCAAGAACACCATCTAATGCAAAAGGATATTCACAGACTAAAAGTCAAAGGATAGAAAACAATACTTCATGCAACAGGAACCCCCAAAAAAGCAGGGGTAGCTATTCCATTTGCCGACAATATAAACTTAAAGCCAGTAATGATCAGAAGGGATATAGAAGGTCACTACACACTGGTTAGGGGAAAACTCCAAGAGGAACAGATTGTTATCTTAAATATATATGCACCAAACTCCAGAGCACCCAGTTATATAAAATAAGTACTAACAGAAATGAAAAACCAAATTAGCAGTAACACAATTGTAACAGGAGACCTTAACACACCATTGATACCAATGGACAGATCAACCAGACAGAAAATCAACAAAGAAATAAAAGAACTGAATCGCACCTTTGAACAAATGGACTTAATAGACATATACTGAGTATTCCACCCAACCACAACAGAATACACATTCTTCTCAGCAGTACATGGATCATTCTTTAAAATAGACCATATATTAATTCATAGAATGTATTTAAAATGCAAAAGTGTCAAAATTATCCCTTGCATGCTATAGAAATTAATGATAAAAGATACTGCAAAAATCCCACAAACACATGGAACCTGAATAACACACTCTTGCATAATCAGTGTGTCACAGGGGAAATTAAAGAAGAAATTAAACAATACCTACAAACAAATGGAAACACAAAGGCAACTTACTGAAATCTGAGGGATGCAATGAAAGCTGTTCTCAGAGGAAAATTTATTGCACTGAGTTCCCACATTAGGAAAACAGAATGAATACAAATAAATAACCTGATGTTACACCTCAAACATCTAGAAAAAGAAGAGCAAGTCAAGCACAAAACCAAAAGAAGAGAAGAAATTATAAAAATCAGAAAATAAATCAATGCAATAGAAACTAAAAAAACAATCCAAAAAAATCAACGAATCAAAGAGCTGGTTCTTTGAAAGAATAAATAAAATTGATAAGCCCCTAAACAACCTTATTTTAAAAAGGGAACAAAAAGTTCAAATTCATGCAATAAAGAATGAAAGAGGTGAAATTACTGCAGACCCTATTGAAATACAGAAGTTCATCAACACCTATTTCGAAAACCTCTACTCTCAAAGGTTTGATAACACAGAGGAAATAGACAGATTCCTGGAAGCATACGAAGTACCAAAGCTAGGTAATGAAGATGTAAAACTACTGAATAACCCAATTTCTATTAATGAAATTAAAGATGAAATTAAATATTTACCTACAAAGAAGAGCCCCGGCCCAGATGGATTCACTGCAGAATTCTACAAGAAATAAAAAAAAAAAAAGACCTAATGCCAACAATCCTCAAAATCTGCAATGATATTGAAAGGAAAGCAATCCTTCCTAAATTGTTCCTAGAAGCAAATATTACTCTAGTACCAAAACCAGAGAAGGACCCAACTGAAAAAGAGAACTACAGACCAATCTCCCTAATGAACACAGATGCAAAAATCTTCAATAAAATATTGGCAAACAGGATGCAGCAAATCATCAAGATCATACACCACGACCAAGTGGGAATCATCCCAGGCAGGCAGGGATGGTTTAATATATGTAAATCAATAAATGTAATACACTATATCAATAGAGCCAAAAGTAAGAATCACATGATCATATCTATAGATGCAGAAAAAGCTTTTGATAAGGTCAAACATTCATTTATGATAAGAACCTTACAGAAAATTGGAATAGATGGTCTTTACCTCAATATAATTAAGGCTGCCTATGACAAATCAACAGTCAGTATCATACTAAATGGACAAAAATTGAAGATATTTACTTTAAAATCAGGGACAATACAAGGATGTCCCTTATCACCACTCCAATTTAATATAGTACTGGAAATACTGGGCAGAGCAATTAGACAAGAGAGAGAAATAAAAGGCTTAAAGATAGGAAAAGAAGAAGTTAAATTATAAGTATTTGCAGATGACATGACACTTTATATAGAAGATCCCCGAAGCTCCATTGAAAGACTCCTAGATATAATAAATTCAGTAATGTAGCTGGATACAGAATCAATGCTCAAAAATCAATAACATTCCTATACACTAACAGCAAAGCTACAGAGAGACAAATAAGAGACCACACCCTTAACACTAGCAACCAAAAAAATGAAATATTTAGGAATTACTCTCATGAAAGAAGTAAAAGACCTATACAGGGAAAATTATAACACCCTGAAAGATGAAACTGAAGATGATCTCAGAAAATGGAAAGACATCCTTTGCTCATGGATAGGAAGAATAAATATTGTGAAAATGGCCATTTTCACAAAAAATTTATACAGATTCAATGCAATCTCGATTAAAAAACATCAACATACCTCATAGAAATTGAGAAATCACCCCTAAAATTCATCTGGAGTGAGAAGAAACCTAGAACAGCAAGGACAGTTAAAAGTAGCAAAGGCAAGCCAGGAGTTATCACAATCCCTGACTTGAAGTTATACTACAAAGCAACTGTAGTAAAATCAACATGGTACTGGAACCAAAACTGAGCCAAAGATCAGTGGAATGGATTAGAAGATACAACAAAACTACAAACATACACAACCACCTTATCTTTGATAAAGAGGCCAAACATGTTCACTGGAAGACAGTCTCTGTAATAAATAGTGGTGAAAAACTGGCCCTCCCTACACCCAAAACTAAAAGTAAGACCCATGCCTATTACCATGTACTAAAATAAAATCTAAATGGATCAAAGATCTAAATATTAAAACAGAAACACTAAATCTATTGGAAGACAAATTGGGTAAAAACCTTGAAGGCATAAGAGGAGGTAGAGAATTCATGAACAGAACTCAAACCACATGGGAAATACTTCCCAGCGTCAATAATTGGGATGGCCTCATTAAAAAATTTCTGCACGTCAAAAGAAATCTCCAGCATAGTGAAAAAAAAAAAAAAAACCCAAAACTGGGAAAAACATTTTAGTGAACTGCCCTTCAGACAAAGGACTTCTGTCTAAAACATATAAAGAATTAAAAGAAAATCTGACCCCCAAAATTCAAAGACCCAATCCAAAAATGGCCATCTGAGATGAATAAACAATTTTCAGATGAAGAAATACAAATGGCAAATAAATACATGAAAAAATGTTCACCATCAATAGTCATTAGAGAAATGCAAATTAAAACCACCGTGTGATTTCATCTCATTCCTGAAAGAATGGCTGAGATCATTAAAACCAACAACAAATGCTGGAGAGGCTGTGGGGTAAAAGGATCTCTCCTGCACTGTTGGTGGGAGTGTAGACTAGTGAAACCATTGACAAGGTCAGTCTGGAGATTATTCAGAAAGCTGGGACTGGAAGCACCTTTTGACCCACCTATTCCATTTCTAGGCATATTCCCAGAAGAACTGAAATAATCATACCACAGAGATATATGTGCACCCATGTTTATAACCACACAATTTGTAATAGCCAGATCTTGGAAACAACCTAAGTGCCCATCAACTGAGGAATGGATAAAAAGTTGTGGTATTTTTATACAATGGAGTACTACTCAGCTATAAAGAATGATCACATTGAGATGTAAGTAAATGGATGCAGCTTGAGACCATACTCATAAGTGAAATAAATCAAAGTCAGATGTATAAATACCGAATATTTTCCCTAGTGTAAAAAGTGATAAGAATACATAGAAGTATGTGGTAACTATGATTCCCAATCATATTGGTTTGAATCCATATGTTTTCACTCATTAAGTGCAATGGTTTTAACCTGGGTTGCTCGATTTTAGTATCAGTGATAGTACAAATAGCTATTCTGAAGAAAACAACACATCAAAAAGCTACTGCTGATTTAATAGCATATTGTTTCAAAGTCCCATCAAGCTGTTGTACATCTGTTTCCACTGGTTTTAACATGTTGTATCTTTCTATATTTTACTATATGCGATAGTATAAACAAAACTTTTACAGGCAAAGAGATAATATAGAAATCATTTTTCATTTTCTGTTAACTGGTTCTAAGTACACTGTAATTCTTTCATTCTCTTGAATGCCTTCACACTGTCTTGATGCTTGATGCTACAGTACATGAAGTTATACTCAAATAATTCTAGGAAAGAGGCACTATGGTGACTAATATCATGTTAGATTATTTGGGGGTGAAACACAATGATGCTTAAATAGTTCGGTTCTGACCTGTGTTGTTCTATTACAATGTCCTCTTTTATCTCAATCTCCACTCTTTTTCAAAAATTAATCTATGTTTTCTTAATTTTTTTCAATTAAGGGAAAACTAAATTAAAAAATAGCAGGATATATTATAGTAACATTTTTGTTTTCTTATTAACCTGATTTGAACCCCACTATAGCTCTCCCCATCTTTTTCTGTCTGATTTTACTGAATTCTGTATTGTTTGATAGCATCAAATTTGAGGGTATAGGCAGCCACTATGAAGGCAATAAGATTTACTATCATGCCCATTATGGTTTGACTATTATCTTGTTTTGAAATACTGTAAGGTCTCCAGTGTAGGTTTTATTGGTCTTATTCTGTACTGTTTTGATCAATTCTATTATACCTGATGAGATGGGCAACTCTTTTTAAAAATAGCAAGAGGCACACTCATAACCATTTTTGATCACCTGATATTCTATTTTTGCATCATGTACTATGCCCATCCTTCTGTTCTAACTGAATCTTTTTTTTTTCAGTCATGTTAGGTTTTATTCTCTTAAAAAAAAGTAATTAGAACTGTGGCAGTAAAAAAACACAAAAACTGTAATTGTTATTGTAAAAAAGAGAGGAAATGAAGGTGGTCTAAGGGATATAACTGCATGTTTGAGTGTGTAGGATGGAAAGCGATATTACTGAGCTTTTGTTGGATCATTGAATGGAACTGTCTGCAATCTCACTGTATGAATGTCCACTTTATATGCTTTAATTCTATAATTTGGACAACTGTTTCTAAGATGAAAATATGTAACCTATTAACAAGTGATTTCTTACTGTATTACTTTTCTTGAAATTCTGTATTATTTATACACTTTTAATGCGTTGTTTTTTTTATTTCCTTTCTTTTTTCTCTTTAAATAAAAAAATAATCAAACCTGGAATGGATATCTTTTATTAAATTATTTTTGGTACTGGAGATCAAACTCACGACCTCACATTTGCCAGGCAGGTTCTTATGCCACTGAGCTAAATCCCCTGCTCCCCAAAGTACATATTTTACATCTTGTCACCTTCACAGTAGTTGCCTCTAATCTTGGACTTGGTACAAGCAAGCATACCAAATGTGAATAAAATCAGTCAAGGCCAAATAGCATTCAAACAAATCAGCTTCAAAGAAGATCAGTCATAGAAGACAATGCAAGTAATACAGGGTTTCAGTTTAAGTTAATAGGTAATTAAGGATAGTTACCATGGCATAACCTGCTATTTTTTGTGTTATCTCTCTGTGCCCTCAAATGTAATATGAGTAGACAGGCTGGAACAAAATATAATCAAACTAATCAGAGCAATAAGTCTATGGTAACATTTAAATCCTGATACACTTTTAACAATGCCCTCTGCCTTCTTTTTTTAGGCAATTCCTCACCTTTCTCCTTCTCAGGATGCTATTATTCACTGTTGAGAGTGATATTAGTCTATTCTCTGATGTTCAATTTCAGCATACACAAATATAAAGACAGCTACTCTGAAGAGAATGAGAGACATTGTGGTAGTCATTATCGACTTCCCCAAAATCAGTTTGAAGACTGAAAAAGCCTACATCATCCTGTAATTATTTGATTAGTTCTATGACCTTCAGTATATATGCAATGCATTCTAGATGGGGACAACTATTTGGAAGAAAACTAGAGACAGTAAAATAGACAGTGAATCTCCAGTGGACGTGCTTTGAAATCTGTGTTTCCTTAACTTGTTTTCTTATGAACTGTTCTGTTCTGTTTTGTCATGTTTAATCTTACCCTCTTTAAGAAATAAAACAAGTGTGAAGGACAGATAAGCATTTTAATAAGTTTTTGTTGGATCATTGAGGTGAACTTTTCGCAGTGTCATTATTTGAATATCACTTTGTACGCTTTATTTTGTAACTTGAACAACTACTCCTAAGATGAAAATATGTAACTAATCAACTAGTGATTTCTTATTGTTTAATTTTCTGAAATTCTGTATTATTTCTACACTTTTTTCTGTTTTATCTCTTTAAATAAACATTGCAATTTACCAAAAAACATAAAAATTCAATTTTAAAGACAAGATATTAAGTACATAGAAACTATCCATACTTGAAAGTTAAAAGCCCATTTCAGTTTACCATGTTTAATTACAAGATGTCGTGTTGAAGCACCAAGACATTTTAAAAAATCTAAATAGGTACAAGTGGTTAACTGAAAACCATACAACATGTGCACTCTAGTAGAGCTCCACCACAGATTTGTCGTTTCTGGAAAATTTATGAATATATATTCACATCAAACTTCTGTATTGGTTATTTCTTCAGGTCTCCTTGGGATTTTAAAAGTAAACTTAGATCTAAACTGTCTGAGGAGCGATACTTTTTTCTATGTATTTAACAACACACATGGATTGCCATATTTCTCACATTGTGAATCCACATAGGATCTCTACCCAGTGAGTTTTTTCAGATATGTAACAATGATCATGTGTGCTGAGAGTATTCCCATAATACATAAGATTTATCTCTAGTGTGAGTTTTTTCATGTATTTCACTTACAGTCTGGCTGCTGAGAGTGTCTCCATTTGCTTACACAGCTGGTGGTTCTTCCCAGTCTGAATTCTTTCATGTGTTTTGCAATGACTGTATGCAGTAAAAGCTTTACCACATTGTTATATACATTGGGTTTCTCACCAGTGTGAAGTCATTGATGTATTTTACAGTATCCATGTGTGGTGAAAGCTTTCCCACATTCTTCACATACACAGGCTTTCTCAACAGTGTAATTTTTTCATGTATTGGACAATGAGCATTTCTGCTGAAACGTTTCCCACATTACTTACATATATAATTTTTCTGCCAAGCGTGAAGATTTTCATGCATTATGCAATATGTATGTGTGCTCAAATCATTCTCATGATGCTTATATACACTGATTTTATCTTGAATGTGAACTTTCATGTTGCTTACAATGTCCATGTAGGGTAAAAACTTTCCCACATTGCTTATACATATGTTTTCTCTCCAGTGTGAATTCTTTCATGTTTCTTACAATTTCCAGAATTGGTAAAACCTTTTCCACACTGCTTACATACAAAGGGTTTCTCTCCAGTGTGAATTCTTTCATGAATCCTACAATGTGTACGTGTGTTAAAAGCTTTCCCACATTTCTTACATACATATGGTTTCTCTCCAGTGTGAATTCTTTCATGTTTCTTACAACCTCCCCTTGTGTTAAAAGCTTTCCCACATTGCTTACATACATAAGGTTTCTCTCCAGTGTGAATTCTTTCATGTTTCTTGCAATCTGTCCGTGTGTTAAAAGCTTTCCCACATTGCTTACATACATATGGTCTCTCTCCAGTGTGAATTCTTTCATGTTCTTTACAATATCTATGTGTGTTAAAAGCTTTCCCACATTGCTTACATACATAAGGTTTCTCTCCAGTGTGAATTCTTTCATGTTTCTTACAACCACCCCTTGTGTTGAAAGCTTTCCCACATTGCTGACATACATAGTGTTTCTCTCCAGTGTGAATTCTTTCATGTTCCTTACAATGTCCATGTTTGGTAAAAGCTTTCCCACATTGCTTACATACATAGGGTTTCTCACCCGTGTGAATTCTCTCATGTTCCTTACAATGTCCTAGTGTCATAAAAGCTTTCCCACATTGCTTACATACATAAGGTTTCTCTCCAGTGTGAATTCTTTCATGAAACTTACAATATGCACGTGTGTTAAAAGCTTTCCCACATTGCTCACACACATATGGTTTCTCTCCAGTGTGAATTCTTTCATGTTGCTTACAATGTCCATGTTGGGTAAAAGCTTTCCCACATTGCTTACATACATATGGTTTCTCTCCAGTGTGAATTCTTTCATGCTTCTTACAATTTCCCTGTGTGTTAAAACCTTTCCCACATTGCTTACATACATATGGTTTCTCTCCAGTGTGAAGATTTCCATGTATTTGACAATGAATGTTGCTTCTAAAAGCTTTCCCACATTTCTTACATATATGCAATTTCTGCTCAGTGTGAAATTTTTCATGGATTACACAATAAGTACGTGTGCCGAAAGCTTTCTCACAGTGCCTACATTTATAACGTTTTTCTCCGGAGTGAAGACTTTTATGTACTTGACAATATGTATGTGTTGTAAAAGCTTTCCCACATTCCTTACATATGTAGGGTCTCTCTCCTCTGTGAATTCTTTCATGTTTCTTATAAATTCCATGTGTAGTAAAACCTTTCCCGCATTGCTTGCATACATAGGGTTTCCCTCCACTGCAATATTTTTCATGGATCTGAACATTGTGGTGTGTTTCTGTTTCTTTCACATTCACATTACCTCCTGCAGTACAAAGGAATACTTCTTTACACAGATTCCAAGATGTATGTCCATAGGATTTCCCTAGCTTGTCATTGCTGTAAGGAAAAAAATCATATATCGGATTGATAACCATATTACTAAGCTTTTGTTGGAGAGTTGAACAAAACTGTTTGCAGTCTTGCTTTTCGAATCCCTATTTCATGTTTCACTTTTGTATTTGATTAACTATTTCTATGAGCAGCATATGTAATCGTCTTGTGATTTCTTACTGTTCATTTTCACTTTGAAAGTAGTATAATTTCTACTTATTTTGTTTTGTTTAATTTTTCCTTACATTAAATTTAAAAAAAAAAGAAAAATTCACAGTGAAATGGGTCTCAGTTTAATGACTGCATTAATGTCAAGTTCTGTTTTTAATGCCTAAGAAGTTCTGACCCTGAAGCAACAGAATGGCCTTGTAAGATATGTTGAAAACAGTCATTCCCAAAAGACTGGTACACATTTGGAAATCTTAAAAGGTGGTACCTTATGAAATGCAGAATCTTTAGCTTCACTTTGGGCATGGGCACTTATGTGTATCACAGACAGATCATTCTGATACGTTTCCCCATCACAATCTCATTTCTGTCCTTAACCTGTAGTTCCCTTTTTCATATGGTCAGTCTTACTTTTCTCTATTAATTCTCTTTCACTTCATTCTGCAATTTTTATTTTGGTTTCTTATCTAAAAGAAACCCTGTGACCATTTAGGTTTTATAGCTGAGCTATTTCATTCATCAACAGATGGGTGAAAGGCCCATCTGTTTCTTATGGCAAATGACACTATATTATTTATTGGCATTATATAACACATTTTTTTTTCTTTTCCAGGCTGGAAATGAACAACAGGTATTAGCATAAAATCTATAGCTTTTTTTTTTTTTTTTTTTTTGTCTTTTTCGTTTTTATCGGTACCAGGGATCGAACTCACGACTGCCTGCTTGCAAGGCAGGCGCTTATGCCGCTGAGCTAAATCCCCAGCCCCAAATCTATAGCTTTTTAAAATCTGTTTTAAGAGATTTTCACTGATCATTAACCTTTGAAGTTTAAACTTGAATTTGCCATTCTGCAAAATCTGATTCATAGTATGCTGGGTTTACAAGAATGCACAATCACAGAGAGTCTATTAACATGTTCCTTCTTCACAAATCCAGTGATAGATAACTAAGCTTCTTCAAGGCCTGATCTATTATAACTTTATCTGCTTTGTAAATGAGTAAGCATGTATCAGTATTTAAGTGTATTTTGAGATTTTAAAAATATAACCAAGACAAGTATGAGAGGATCATTTTCCAGAGACAACTGCATACTGATATGCAAAATGAGTGCACTAACATTCCACCAGCCTACTAAGAATTTTAATTAGAATGGCTGATTCTCTAGAACATGGCTTGGAAACATGAGCACTCAGTTTTATTTCAAATTCTATTGCAATCTTAGCAATTTATAGATAATGAATGTGTTGCATTCTCTTGTATATATTGCTACAAAAAATTGTTAGATAATGTGTTGCATTAACATGTATATATCGGTACAGAAACTGAATGTCATAACTCAAAGTGTATGCCTTTTGTATACATCTATATGCAATGTCATACATTTCCATGATTTAATTCACTCATTATACATACCCTAGCTTATATATCTTCAGAGAATATTATTGACATTAAATTGAATGGTGGTCATTTTTCTGCTGACTCACTAATTACTCAGGAACATTCCTTCTCCTTGTGAGTGTGTATTACCTTAAGTATCTCCAGTAAATTTTGCATTCTTTTTCAGCTTCCTGGATATCCCCAAGTCCTCCTGAATTGTAGACATAGAAATACCAGGACTCATTAGAGAAATATATACAAATTAATAGGTTTTGTTTAGATATATGATATAACATGTCCAGATCTGAGGTAGTTTTAAAATTATTTTCATGTTCTTTTTAATGAAACAGCACTGATGAGCAACAAACAATATTCTGACAGCATGAGTGACAAAAAGATTTCATCCTTACCTATCGCAATCATGTTGCTAAAAGTTTCACCCATCACATCTCTGTAGAGGTTCTTTTGGGATGGACTCAGCAAACTCCACTCTTCATTGCTGAAGTTCACGACCACATCCTCAAAGATCACCACCTCCTAAAGGATCATACATATATTTCTCAAAGGAAGATTGAGACCCCAGGTTTGGGATATCTTAAACTCTCTCCTACAAATCTGAATCAAAAGGAAAGTGTGGTGGTGCATAACTATAATCCCAGCACTAAAAAGACTGAGCCAGGACAGTTTCGGTGAGGTCAGGGCAATTCTAGGCTCCATAGGGTGTTCAAATCCAGCTGATATACATACAGAAAGCTTCTCTCAATAAAACAAAACTAAACTAAACTAATAAAACCAAATAAACAGCTGAATGAAGACTGATTTCTTCAAATTAAATCCATGTCTTTGTCATTCATTTTGTGTATATACACAGTTTTGAAGACAGCAAATTTGATGCTAGATTTTAACTCACTGCTAATGTAACAGGCAAATAGGAACACTGATTCTTGTGCTGAGTCACAGCAAGATTCCCTGTGCACTGTCTGATAAGCAGAGCTCACAGTGAGAAGCCTGCAGGACCAGCAACCACAAAGCACAGAGGGAAATAAATATCTCATCAATCGACTGGGAAGCCAAGCAAGCAATTCCTCTCCCTGGTCAGTGGTGGTGGTTTGGCAGACTGCAGCCCTTCCAGGGGGAAAACCAGCAGCAGCTCCTGAGATCCATGCAATATTGGAACTTAGGACACTGGGAAGCCAGGCAAGCACCTGCCCTCCCTGGTGAGCAGTGGCAGTCTCCAAACTGCAGTCCTTCCAGGGGGAGAACCAGCAGCAGCTCCTGAGATACATGCAACATTGGAACTTAGGATTCTGTGAAACCAAACACCATCCTGTCTCCCTACTAAGCAATAGTGAACCTACTGATGCACCACCTAGAGTCAAATATCCCATTTCCCCTACCCCTCTACTCCTATCACTCCCCTACCCCCCCCACCCAACCCCATTAGCAAATGAACCAGGAATCTGAGCGTCTCCTGGGAAGTTGTCCATAGCAAATAAGGGGGACTTTCTTCCACTATATCTTTGAAGGCAAATATTTTTATTACTGTTTGGCTCTATTCTAATTAATGGTACTGCTCTATTCAATATTCTGTTTTGATGAGTTCTATAATGTTCTGTATTTCATCTCATTTTGATATACATGTTTGAAAGAAAAACTATTATAAAGATAATGAAATATACTGTGATACCTACTACTGTTATCCCAGTAACCTGTTGTGAAGTTGTGTACCAATTTCACTGTATGATCTTAGTTGGGCTTATTCTGCCTTGTTCTGTTATATTTTATCTATTTCAAAATTTAAAAAAAAGAAAAAAGTCTCATCAATCACTTTGATAGACTATGGAAGACATATCTTCAAATCTCATTTAGAACAGTGAGTACTTTGTTCTTAATATAGTTAAGCAGCATTTTGAAATATGAATTTGGTTTCATAGAACAAAACATAAATAACATCAAATATGGTACATAAATAATAACTTAAATGTTAGTGGAAAACAGCTATATTTTAAAAATATGTATATAAAATGAAACCAGGCCCAAGCTGTAAATTATACCTCACTGTCACCAAGTGATCACTTTCAATTCAGATATAAGAAATATATCTTGGGAGGCTGGTGACGGAGTTCTTTCTTGAACTTGGGGCTATCCTAAAGTTACAGAGCTGTCTAAAATATTCAAACCCTGACTGAGACACCCCAAAAACAATGTGAAATCTAAAAAGTCACTGCATAAAACAGCTTTGGTTTGTTTTAAAAAATTATAGCCATACAATACAGAAAAACTCCAACAATACTCAACACTTTCTGAGAAACAATGTGGATATCTTCCATACTACACAGAAAACATGTTCATAGTTGTGTATTTAGCTTACTGACATGACCACCTGCCTGGAAAGCATAGATCATGAGTACGATCCTTGTACAAAAATACTCAAATTTCAACTTCATGACACTGGGGCATAAGTAGAGATAATCAAAATTAGATCTCAAGTATGAAACACAAAATTCATAGGTTGACAGGGATGTGGAATACTGATTGTTGTCAGAGCTGGTGTTGATCACCTCAATGAAGCAATCAGAACCCAACTTTAACTTCATACTTACTCCAAGAACTACCTGACTTTCAGTAAAGACCTTCTCTGTTGTATGTCCTGCTATTTGCTTCCTAAATCCTGTCAGTCACTTCCACATCCTTTCCACACTCCTCTGTTCCATCCTAAGCAGAAAACCCTTCATGCCTAACTTTTGATATCACTGAAAAATTTCTATTTATGGCTCCTCCTTTATACCACTTAGACAAGTCCATTGCAGAGCATTTCCATATTTAAACTGTCTATGAACAACCAAGCTACTAAATCAGCTCTTAATTCAGATATGACACCTGTATTCTTGTCCATTCAGAAGGATATCACAAGTATATGTCCATGCAAATGCCTAAATTTCAGCATTTTTCGACGAGAATTTAACAGGTAGCACTTTCTGGAATTTGTCCTTCACAAACTTTTACCCTGGCCTTGATAAAACTTCATATTTGCTTCATTTTTCTCAGACTTCAAAACTCTATGGCTGTTCCCACAAACCTAGTCTGTGAGCAGTGGTGCCACCTAAATAATTAAGTATGTTCAGAAATAATTTGCACTGATCTGTATAATACACAGGAGTTCACCAGGTGTTTGGGAAGCCTTTCTCCAATGATGCAAACTACTACAAATCTCTGAATTCTCAGGAACTTTGTCACTACCTATCCTGAGGATGGAAATAAGAGAACATAAATTTAGGAGATCATTATATATATACAAAAAAGCCCAAGTTTAAGTTGAGCCATTGTGGCTATGAGGCCCTGCATTACAGACATTAATAAACCTCAGACATTCCAGATCTGCTACTCTGAGGAAAGAGAGCATAGATCTAGCTCATTCCTGCTCTACAAACTACAAAAAGCATCATAGCCAGTGTCTTCCCAAGCTCCTTCCAATGTCTAAGATGGTGGAGGTACCAGGCCAGAAGTGTATTTCAAAGATGATACTTGAGTTTTCTACTGTCATAGTGAAGCCAGGGTTCTGGGAACCCCAAATCACCCTTGCCAACAGCAAGAGGCAAAAGGGACAGTGAATGAACCATAGCCAATGCTGGAGGACATCAGGAGCTGAAGCTAACTAAATACCTGGGGCTCCAGACACCGGAACTACTCCTAAATACTTGTAATTGGTTTCACCCAATCTACATTATTTCTGGACTCTCATCCACAACTTCACCATTCCATGGCTCCAGGATCTCTCAGATACTTTGCTCATCAGGCCACAGGACATCAAAAGTACTAAGTGAGATCGAGCAAGCATTTTGCTGCCACTGTTGTATGCAGAACAGATAAATCATGCTGAGATACCAGAAAAGACAGAAGTCACAGACAGCAATGGAACACCTGATTGGACAGTTCATATAGTCTGCCCCTTCATCACTGATTGACTCCTGCTCTACTGCCTACCTTCTGAGTCAAGAATCAACAGGGAAAGAAACCCCTCCCTGCAGGAGAGGATCCCAAATGATAGACTGTAGTGCAGAGACTTCTGGAGCTGCCATTCCTCTCCAGTGCTGAACTCAGCTCGACCAAAGGAGTGTTTGTACTGAAGAGCTTTACTTCAGGCTTTTAATTTTCAAATCCATTTTATTTCAGTGAAAAAAGAACACATCAACTAAAATTAAATTTCAAAACATGTCAACCAGGGGGCAACACTGGTATATACATTGCACACTGTCATCCCCAGATCATTCACCCTAAGCACAAGACATCTGTAATCAATTTTCCAAGCAGTACTGTTACAGGTGCCTGAGTTATTTAAATAGTATTGGCATGAGGCAGGGCTAGGTCCTCCAAGGAGTCTTTGCAGGAGACCAGATACTGTGCAACTATGGGCAACTATCTGTAATTTTGGTTATGGTTTTGGTTTTGTAATTTTGGTTTTGGTTATGGTATCTACTATGACACCTCATGCTATGGGCCAAGTCTCAAGACAAATGATCAGCAAATTCATCCATATCCTAAAGACTGATATTCTAAATAGTTCCATAGCACTCTGAGGAGGTTAGGAGTCACCATTCAAAAAAAAGGATCCTTATCCTAAAGACGGACATTTTAAATATTTCCTATCATCCTGATGAACTCATGAGTCACCCTCCCAAAACCCTAAGGGAAAAGTCACTGCTGCCTAAGAATTCCTGCTTTCTATGACACTCCCTTCCCACTTTGTTCCCAATTTAATCAACTTTACATGAACTTATAATCTTATTGGCTACCATAGCTCTGTCCCGTCTTATGCCCATCTGCATTGTGAGTTCCAATTTTTCTCCACCTTAAACTCATCTCACCACATGATTTTACTCTATAAAGGTCCCCAGAAGGACAGTGTTTGACATCCCGCTCAGGACTCCTTATCTCTCTCAGGTAGCATTCTTTCTCTAAATAAGTATATTTTGCTCTTAATTTTTGTTGTTCCTAAAATTCATTCTTTGACTTTAGAGAACACAAATTCACAGACCAGGAGATTCATTACTCTATAGCAATATCATTATACATTTTTCTCTTTCCTGAAGTCAGATAAATCAGTAGTAGTTTGTATTCTACAATGTTGATCTCACCTTTCCAGGGATGCTTGCACTGAAGGGCTTTATCCCTGACTTTAAGTGCTACTTTTGTTTTCTGAAAGTGAAATGATCTGAAATTTTGGTTACGGTATCTACAATGCATTAAGGAAATGACTAACAATATTTCTTATGAAGGGTTTACTACCAGCCATAGAGGAACACAGGTGGCAAAAATTCTTTGTTTTGATTTCTTCCTTGAAACTGAAGAATGTACTTGAAAGAGTTTTGCCCTAGAAACAATCACAGAACCTCATGGTGGTAGTTGAAGGTGGAAGAAGGCAAATCAGGGATGCTTACTCATATGGCCACTTCCTCTTTTTTCCTTGATTACAACTTCCTCTTTCTCTCCCATGGACCTAAAGAAAATTCCCATCAGCTCCTTGCATGACATCAATG